CTCCCCACTCTGTCCCTGGTGAATCCTCTCACCCTCTGCATCTCTGGCCTGTACCCCAGTTCTGTATGAATAAATAAATCTTAAAAAAAAAAAAAAGAATTTAAAGAGGAGTGCATAACATGAATTTGCAAATATTTCTGAAGTGACAAAATGACTAACAATGATTTTAAATTTTACTTTAATACTTCTATTTCCAAAACATGGTGACATTAAGCGTAGCTATTATATGAAGTAAAGTATCTACTATATGAAATAAAGATATATCTAGTTATGAAATAAAGATGTCTTCTAGTATAGCCATACATGTTATTCTTTTCTCTTTTTTTAATTACCATTCTAGTACATAATGTATTTTCTTAACCACCTAATGTTTTACTACTTTAAATAGTCTCATTTTTTTCTCTATTTTCCAAGTTACTATGAGGAGTTACTTGAAATCTATTATTTATCTGCTTTTATAAGTCAGTGCAAGATGGCACTTCATTACATCGTGAGATTGTTCTAAGATTCCCTTTCTGAGAAAATTTCACAAGCCATTATTTGTATTATGAACTACTAGAGTTAAAAAAAAATCCTATTCTTTAAAAGAAAGGTTGACAATTTATGTAAATTGTGTTCTTCCTCTCTATGCCCACAGATGTCCCAAAATGGGTCTTAGGAGATGGATTTCTTGGAAACTTAGGCTTTTGGAACTAGAAAGGACATTAGAGATCATCCACTCCACCCCCTTCATTTTACAGTTGAGGACACTAGCTGAGAAAAGATAGCTGAGTAACTTTGGGCAAGTTTCCTACCAAGAGGCAGAGCCAGAACCAGAAGCCAGGTCTCCTGATGCCCAGTTAGGAGCCAGGTCTCTTGACTTCATCCAAGGATCTTTCCATTACACCCAAACTGATGATTCTTTGAGGTTGCCTTGGGCTGCATACATTGATCGTGCTACTTTATAAATGACCACATTCACCAAATATAATGTATTTGATAACAAGTCACTGGACCTTGGAACATGCCTATACAACAAACTATAATTAATCCTGATCTCGTCCTGCCTATAATAATTCCATAGAACCTCACTGATCGTATAATAAACTACAAGCCCTTTAAGCTGGTCTTTAAAGCAGTGCTCCATCTAAACCCAGCACATCTGATGAAATGCTTCCCCTCTGTGCTGTTGACGCAGGTCTTCTGTCCTGGTGAACCACACTGCTCCCTAACTCAGCACATGCCACTCACCCCTCCCAGGCTCTTTTTCCAGGGCTTTGTCTGGCTAGTACTAATTATTCTTCAATTCTGAGTTTAAATATAAAACCCCTTAAAGAGTATTTTATTTCAATATTCTTATTGTATCCCATATCCTTTAATATTAACAAGTCCAAAAATTACTTACTTATTCAGTTATTTATTTAATATATTTCTTCTAAAATCTACTCCAAACTGTGGAAGGACAGGCTTTCTGCCTAATCTCAATCACCACATTACCATCCACCAGACTGTATCAGGAATACAGCCATCAGAATAGCTCATTGATTACTTTATGTGTCAGACCTTGTCTAATAGGGATGTTCTCATGCAAATCTACCTACAACAATCTGATGAGGTAGATCACAGATTACAATAATGAGGCACAGTGCATAGACATCGCCTTGTATCACAGAGCAAGAAGTGGTAGAACTGAACTGAGATTTGAATTCAAGCATTCTAATCCCAGAGTCTATTTTCCAAACAATATATTATACTGCATATTCAAATATGCACTGAATAAATAAATCAAGTTTATACTATCGCAAACTACATACATGAAAAACCACAATGACAATATGCCAGGCACTGTTCTAAGTAGCGCATACACATGCGTTAGTCATTTCATGATGGTTTGACCCCATGAGAACCCTGCAAAGTAAACATCACTACTATTACCACTTTGGGGTGAAGAAACTGAGGCACAGAGAGTCACAATTGCCCCAGTTCATACTGCTAACAAGGGACAAACGCCAAATATTTTGTGTCTGTCTGTGCTCTTAACTTCGGTTTTGTCCTGACATAATTGCAATAGTTCATGCCCAGCGATCACACAAAATTAATAATAAATTACTAGTGTAATAATCATTAGTCAATCCAAAATGACAAAAAGCTAAATGTTGTTTAAGCTAAATTGGTTCTTTCTATGTGATGGGGATAAATGCACCTTCCTTGCAGGGATGAATTGCTAGAAGGGGATCGTGTCTTTCTTCTGGTGGACACAGCGCCATACAGGGGGAGGGCCTACCAGGGAAGAACCTTATATGTACCTGTCCTTACCCTTCAGCTGGGAGTCTTTCTAAAGGGTGTTACTCATATGTAGTAACTGTGGTTACACTGCCCAGAGTTGTTAAAATCTTATATACACAATGAGGTAAAAGGGCAAATGAAGGTTAAAAAAAAAAAAAAAACACAAAGCAATGCAAAAATCCAGAGCAAAAGGAAAATCTTGCTAAAACCTTGCTAAAATTTTAGGACAGGTGCTTCACACTAAGCCCTACAGATTCATCAGCTAGAAAGTGAGTCCAGCAGTACTTTGATAGGTGTTTTAAATAACAAGATAATGTTAGTGAAATCCTTTTTTCACATTATAAAGTCCCCTGAAAATTCTATGTTTTCTCAATATTCAAATCTTATGCCTTATAAAACCTAAAGGGTTCATACCTCAGGTCTGAAACAGATTTTATTTTTGCTGAAGAACTATTAATAGAAATAATATTGCTATAGATGATGATTCTTTGAACTTATGATTCCTTTCTGTATATGACTCTAATTTTATCCTATAAATATGGCAACCCAATAGAAACAAAAAGAGATGCAACCTTAGCATGAGGAAATGTTTATCTCGATAACAATATTTTTTGGAAGAGTACTTAAAAACCAAAATGTAATGAAAAGAAAATATCTAGTTCAAGGTTGGGTGACTCTGGTCAGCTCATTCAGACAAGGATAGATGCTTTTGTCCTGGAGTTTGGGGTATTCAGCAGTTTTAGAAGCTGCTTTATAAAAGTAGGGCAAAGAAATCTAATTTTAGAAGTCAGATTTCATGGATGATGGCCTGTGTACAGTGTCAAAAAGATAGGCCAATTGGTCAACTACATAAAAGTAAGAAAAGAATCAGATCAGCAGATAGATGAAATAAGTAATCTGACCACATGGCATGAAGACACGGTATCATAATGACTAAGGACACAGGGTAAGAGACACTGAGAAATTCATTTAACTTTTCACATGTTTCAGATTTCCCAGAAGCAAAATCCAATCAATGAAGGTCTTTCTTTCCAAGGTGCTGTCACATGCTTAGGTGAAGAACACTACATGAGGGGAAAAAAAGCAACTTGTTATCTTTGTTCACAAAATGAGATCTTATAACCTTACCTAATAGATTGGTCAACCACAAGGCTAGATCTTCTTTCATCGGTAGCAAATTAGCTTCATGTCTGCTGGCCAGCCACTGGCTGTACTGATGCATATCAGAGAGGCCAGGTCCGCTGCGCACCTTGGGGCTCAGAGCAGTGCACATTATTTATCCACTCGCAATACCTGTTTCGGAAACAAAAAAGCAATTGTTTTTTTTTTTTTTTTTTTTTTTTATACAGACCTCTCTTGTTAAAGATCCATTGCCCATGCCATAATAAAGAATGGGATTCATGGATGCTTTGATGACAGGTCAGGTTATTAATTATTAAACTCCATGAAACACTGTTTGCTTTATCTGTGTTTGCCCTACACTTTTGACTAACCACTAGGTCGGAAACAGGAGAAATCAAAGGTCAAGCAGGAAAAAATCAAACAGTAAACACTAAGCATCTGCAAAACATCGGATCTGGAACAACTCAGCTTCTAAAGCAAGACATCTCACTTATTCAAAAACAGTAAAAAATGGTTGTTTAAATGTTATTATTGCCCAAAATGTAAACTACCATTGTTTGGGTTAATTTTGATTACCACAGAAATTTCAGACTGAGTGCTCACAATGGCAGTTTTTGCTCAGTTTATTATAAACATCCACTCATTACCCTTAAACATATTACCTGTAAGATTAAGCACAGCACTTGATTTTTGGCAGATGGTGAAGCAAGAACAGACTCCACTTAGAGAATTGTGTGGGAAATAGGAGAAAAGATCCTTGCTACATTTCTATCATTTTATGGTTCATGAAACGGCATGAACCTGTGCTCTAAGATCATTACTTCTTCCAGAATGACACAATTTACAAAAAAGATTCATCATAAACCCAGAGTATGACACAACAACTACACCGTAATACTGCCATCATTTTCTTGGTCTGACTTTGTATCTTCCCATTTTATATGTCTTGCATATTAGATTCGGTTTGTCACTACCTTTAGAATACAAGTAATTAAATACCTTATAACTACAAAATAAGAAATTCTTTCATTAACCTAATTACCCTATGAGTAGCAGAGTCCCATAGGTAATAGAAAGAATTCTTCAATATATACTTGGCCTTGAATGAACAGTTTTGTATGTGCTATTTATAGGACTAAGATCACAGAAGTTGACAATGAAGCAGCTAAGCAAACAAATTCATAAGTTTAACAATCTGTAGGATTCCATTCTGTATACAAGTAGTGCATATAGAATAATAAAATGCATTAAAACTGAATGAATATGAGAATATTTTCAACTAGCATGAGGTTTATATGATACAATGAGGTTTTGGACTTTATTTCAATATTTACAATTTTAATTTAATGTTGAAAAGTTATATTTCAAAGTTACCACTATAAATTGTATATGTTCTTGCTGATGTTAGACTTTCAAATTTTATATAGTAATAATTTCCAGTTATTATCAAACTGTAATTCTCCTTCCCTGGTGGTGCTGTGGGCTAACCCTAGCAGCACTGCAAGCTAGCCGCAGACTTTAGGACGAGTTCTATCCCTGGCCCCAGAGGTGACCCACATGGCGCAGCAGACCTCTCAGGTCACACCCGTTGCCCGCCTCAGCAATGTATTTTGTCAGTCAGCCTGTTCTGCTCTCCACTCTGTGTCTGATGAATCCTCTCACCCTGCACCCCTGGCTTGTACTCTGGTTCTGTATGCATAAATAAATAAATCTTAAAAAAAAAATGACTCTTAAGAAAACTAAGATACTGGTGTTTGGAAAAATGAAACATGTGACCAAAGCCCAATTATTTTGCTGCAATATTACAAAGACTGCTGGCAGGATGAGCAAACACCTCAAAACTCATGAGTATATAATTTTAAAACAGAAAAATTTTACTTCCTAAGCAATTATATCCTACAGTATATTTTGCAAAATTTTGTTTTAATTTTCTGTAGAAGCTCCTATATATACTTATTTAAGGTGAACCAGAGCAAGTGTAAAATATTTTAATGTACCTTATCAACTGTTACTAAATTGTTTATAAAGCCAGAACATCAGTTTGTCTATTCTTTGATAGCCAATGATCACCTACTGTACCTAAAGTTCTAAAGATTTCTCTAAACTGTGTGATTAAATTCCAGAACACTAAAATACTTTCCCCCAGTTCTTTTCAAAATAGATACAATTCCAGGAAAACAATATTTTAACCTGTAGCTAGTTGAGGCTTCCAAAGGCTAGTTAGTCTCAGAAACATGTAAGTAATAATACATTTAAGCACGTGATTCATACATTTAAATAACTAGTAATCTTAAAAGGGTTACCTCTAAAAGTGCTTTTCTTCTCAAGACACAATCTCACTCACTACTTTCCTGAAAATGAGATGTGGTACTTCAGTAACTTTACCTACATCCTATTATGTGCCCTGCAATTCCATTTAAGTCCTATTTTGCTCTGTAAAAGCAAGAAGACACCTCAGATTCTTAAGCTCATTGTCCTGCAAAGAATTCATCAAGGGATAGTTTACAGTAAGCCTAATGGCATGTAACAGTTTCAATGACCAGAGGGACACAGTCCTTCCCCTCAATGCTTCTCAACAGTGAAGTTTTATTTTCCTTGACACTAGCACATTTATTGCTCATGTAGTCAGACCTGCCAGAAATGTAATTCAAACTACCCTCTAATATTTACAGATGATCATTAAGTGAAAATAAGCAGAGAATTAGGACAATCAAGCAATTTTGTTACACAAAATTATATACAAATTGAAAAGCAAGAATAGTTGGTAAGGGGCAAAATGGGAAAAAGAAGCTAAATGGATAATTAGCACACAACAGAAGTCAAAAAATTAAGTACACACGCCAAAACATATAAACACCTAAAGTCAGTGGACTAGATTAAAGCTTCCACTACCGAACGGCCTTTTGAAAAACATTCCATTCAAACCATATCTCCCAATCATCTTTTTTCATATTGTATCTCAAATCACCATTAAATTTTACATAATTGTGTGATGCAGTTGAAAGTCATTACCCATTACATAGAGGTGTAGAAATGGCAAAGGTATGCATGGCTAGAAACCATGGGAATGAAACCAGTTGATAAGTTCAAAATTTGGAGTGTGGAAGAAGTATCACAAAATGAAGCAGTTTTCAACTGAAATGATTAAATTGGGGTGAAATGGCCAAATACCTTTATATTAACCAGATAAAAAATTCACCACAAGATTTGTCAATGTCTTACAATTTTCAGGAAAAGTTTTTTCTTAATCTGGAATTGGGTTATATCACAAAAAACAAACCATGACAAAGAAAATTCTGATCTTCTGAGTTCATGTGTCTTCAAAACCACAAGAGATGCCAAAGGGCAATGTTTAAAGATGAGAAATGAAATGATGAATGGCCCATTAGAATTTTATTCTTAAAAAGTTAGGCTTGGGAAGAAGAAAAACTTATTTCAGAAAATAGATCAAAACCCTGAAAGATGTTACCATTATAATTAATATAATCAAATATTCCAAAGCCTGAGAACTAACCTTAAGTACTAACCTTAAGTACTAAACACAGCCCATCACTTAGAAAAAAAAAAGGTAAATGTACACGTGCTTCTGTGAATTCTCCAAGCTATGACTTCTCTAAGTTCAATGGGTCTATTTAAATATGGATAACCCAACCCTTAATAGTTGGAATTCAGAAAAATAAAACTTAAGAGGAAAAACATGCAGAAATTTAATACAGAATTCCTTTTTAAAAGTGTGTATTTTTTTTTTATTTCTTTCCATAGTAGAAGTGATTCTGGAATAACCATTATAAATATGATGAGGCTTGAAATAGCCCAGGGGAAGAAGAAAATTAATGACTCCGTAAGTAAAATATCACATGTTTAATGTCTCTGTTTAGTCTGTTGCTCCAGAATCTGTTTGAGGACATTATCGGTATAACTCTGAAGAAAAAGTATTCTTTTACGCCACCTAGAGGTGTGCTTTGATTTTGATCAAGATGGTTTCCAGTTCATCTTCAGACTTGGCTGACATGTTGTAAAAATGTATTGCAATGTTACATAGAAAAGATGTAAGAATGAGAACAAAGTGATAAACACTGTATCTCTACTGTCTCCTATGTGATTTACTAAAAAGCCTGATGAATGGAAAGAAAATTAAAATTGGAAACTTAAGTTGTGGGGTCAAACATTGGCTCCACAATCTAGTCATTTAATAGCTGTTCCATTCCTGCCCTATGATTTTTTTGTTTTGTACTTGAGTTCTCTAGTATATAAAGTAAGCCAACATCTCAAATACAATTGTGAAGGCTAGTTATTTAAGCCAGTATGGTGTACACCACAAAAACTAGTTAAATCTAAATCACACCATAGGAAATCTGTTAAAAAAAATCCATTTATTTATTTATTTTTAAATGAAAAACAATTCTGTAACAAAATAAAACTACTTTATGGGACTCTTAAATCACTGAGAAGGACAAAAGGGATAAGAAATGAAACAGATAAAGACTGATATAATGAAACCATAAACAATGGGAAATGCAGTTTCCTTCATACTGAGACAATGCAAAAAATGTTGAATTCCAAAAAGAGTTGATTGCATGTGTATTAAAAAAATAAATTTGGGGAATAAATTATACTTTGTTTTTGATCTCAAGTAAAGGTTTATAAGCTATTAAGAAAGGGGAGTCCTATATCTCTTCAAATAAATACAGAAGGGTATCAACTAGGCCCCCTCTTCCTCCACAAAAGACTCCTTAACTGGATCCATTTAAAACAATGGCATTAATAAGTCCATAGTCAAAGGGGTCGCATCCTTAAAGACCACTTTTGTCCTCATCTGCAGCATTGATCTCAGCCCTAAGCTATTCTATCTTGATGTTATGGGGTACAAAGCAACGAAGAAGCAAATATTACAAGCCCAAAACACTACCTTTAAAAAATTAAAATGAAAAAAAGAAAAAAACAAAATCAAAAACACAAAATGAATTTCCTTCTAAAATCTGGATGGGGGGAAAAACCTACTTTCAAGCCAGACTCAAAGAATTACAATCAATGATAGTCTTTTATGGCTCTTTCACTCTTCTGAGGTCTTTCCTCTTATGTGATACATTTTGTCTGACCAATAATGTCTCTATGAGCTACATATTCTTAACCAGATTATGAATGAAGTCTTAACCTAAGCACCTAATCAGAAAATATTAATTTTATCAGAATAAAATTTAACAAAAAACATAATTCCACATTTTATAAATGGACAGCCACTTATGTCTAAGGGGAGCAATTTGTCCACAAATATAAAAGCACTATGCATAAAGGCAAATTAATTTACATTCATTACTAGCCTTTCTACTTATGTAATAAAATCATTAAAATCAAATGAACTGTAAAATATTTAAAAGTCAAATTCCTGGCTATTAATAGGTTATTAATAATATGCTTTGCCCAAAGTGACAAGGGTATGTGGTCACAATCATTAGAAGTATCCCAGTTGCCCTCTAAGAGCCTCAACTTAAGTAATTCTCTTCCAGGAATCTTTCATCCTTCAACCCATAAATATTTATCTTGAATCAACTGATGGTATACCTGTAATTAATAATTTCTTCTCATTTCATGACCAAAAAGCTGGGCTAGTGGAAACTGATTTCTTATATTTCCATGGTATTAGAGATTTTTTTTCAAGATTTAAAAATTCTACCAAGCTATTCTTCCAATTTAGCAAAGGTTTTTGAACTCCTATCAGATTAACCTGAAACATAAGTTGAATAGCAAACCATGAAAAGTCATTAATTAATTAGAATATTTAAGGACTTCTATTAAAATTTCATCTAAGTTGAATATATAAACTTAAATCAGGAAATGTTCTTTGTGTTGACTAACCTTGAAAAGATTTAGGACAGAATAATTATACAAGGTCCTTAACTCACTCTGAGAAGAGATACTTTCCTCCTTCACTCCAAATTTTCTGTCCAGTTAGAAAAACCTTGATGGTGCTTAGGAGAAATGAAAAGAAATAACAAGGTACTGTATGCACCTCCATATCAAAAGCACAAAGATACCAAAAATAGAATTAACAACAGTGGCAGGTCTAACAGAAATAACTCTGCCAACAAATTGTTCAAACCTCATTACTTGATTTCAACCAAGGTAACTTGGGCTGTCCAAAGTCTTCAAAAATCTATAATACAGACTGTCAGCTTTGAATCAAAATTGCAATATTACAAATATCAGGCTTAATATATAAGGCCTGATATTTTATGTTACCTAGAGGTTTGTTTCTTATTACAATTTTTTACCCAGATACTGGAAAGATTAGTGACCATTACGCTAGGAGAAAGAAATTTTGCCATGTGAATTCATTTCCCATTAAAGCACAGTCCACACCACAAAAGCAATAAAGTGAAGAAATAAGCCCAAAGTTTAGGAGCTTACAGGCTTAAATCCAAGTTACCTTTCAGTTTCAGGCCATTTAGGGAAGCCCTTGCAAAGAGGCAATATGCATTGCAAAGCTCCCCATCCCTTGCCTGAGGCATCTGTCTCTTACCTTCGTTTAGGCAGTCAGAACCAAGACACCCATGTTGGAGAGGACCCCCACAACCACCAGCTCTTCCTCTGCAGTTAGGAGGGAGCATTCCTTGAGAAGGAACTCATTGGTGGAATTCAAAGACAGGCTGGGCAAACTCTATCCCAGCTGTAGTTAATCAGTGGCCACACTACAAGGTTGGGGAAAGAAGGAAAAAGCACAAGGGCTTGTTCTGAGCCTTCCTCTGGGAATCTCAGGGGATAGGTGCAGAGGAAAGGTGGACTTCCTCCGCCTGGCTGGCACATCCAACCTGTCTGAGCCTTTATTTTAACACTAGGAGGCCAGATGGGTGTTCCTGTGCACACACAGATCTTATTTCCTCCACATGAGCTCTGCCCTACACCACTGATCCAGCTTTGTTGGACAGGGAGGAGTTTACAAGAGAGACAGGAAAACTGCAAACTCTTGACTGTAAGAGAATGAAGATGTAGCAGGTAAGGGGATGAAGAGGAATAAGATGGGAATGAAAAGGTGTTGATTTCCCAAACAGTTAAGGGTGAGGGGAAGTACTGAACAATCCATGCACCTAAATTGTAATGGAAAGTAGAAAACAGAATCGGTTAACCCCTGCTTTTCTTCCGGCTCCCTTTCCAGACATTGGACGTGTGGGCTAAGCTAATGGCAGTTTACCTTACTGGCCTCATAGAATTTGTCAAAATAAGCAATGCCTCCAAAAGGAATTCTCCTCTGCACCTCAATTTCAGATTCCCAAACCCTACTCTCGACAAAAAGGACAATATTACCCCAAATCTTCCCAAAGGGGTTTGATTCATAAACAAGCATTTGTTTATTCACGTAAAAAAAAAAAAAAAAAAAAAAACTCAATTCTGTCAAACGCAACAGTCGAAAACAACATCACCCCAAATCTCACATGAGGCTCTTTCTTCTCTTCCTAGCCTCCTCCACTCAAGACATGCAGGATCAATCTATTCAGACTATCCCCTTTTCTCTCCCCCGTAACAGAAAAGCTAGCATGGTTTACAGAGAGCCTGTGCACGGAAGCATTTGCCTGCATTCGTAATCGATGTGCTAATTAGAAATCTTCACTTCCGTCCCTGGTTGGCTGAGCCATCCCAGCGGGCTTTTCGTGTAGCGGTCATTTGGCTTGTTCCACAATAGAGAGAAGGAACACATGATTGTTTCCAAGGAATCAGAGTTACCCACTGCAATGACCACCCACTCAGAACCAGAGCCCGTCCAGGTCTCCGCGACTCCTCTCCCATCCCAGATTCGTCCCCGAGATGATATCTAAGCCCTCCCCCTCAAGCCGTCACCCCAGCAGCAGCCGCAGCAGGCGGCAGAGAAGCTCTGGCCACCGCCGGCTGCAGAGAGCGCACGCTGCGGCGGCGCCGGCGGAGAGCTGGGCCAGCTCGCCTTGCTCACCCCGCGTCCGGAGCTGGGCTGCTGGCGCCTCTCAGAGGTGCTGGGGGTCCCGACTTCGCTCCCGCAGCGTCTCTGGCCCGGCCCCCACCCGGCGCAGGTCCTGCAGCAGCTGCTCTCTGCACCCCACCAGCCCGGCGGCAGCAGTTACAGCCGCAGTGCCCCTCTTCATACTTCTCTGATGGCTCCTCTTGGTGCAGTTTGGGAAAACGATTTTTCCCCCTGCCAGAAACAGATTTCCTACATTTCATCAGTCCACATAGACCGAGCGGAAGTAAAATGCTTACTTTTCTGGTGGACAGCAAACGCAATTGACACTGATTTACCCTTCAAACGGGGAGAGATTGTATTACAAGCCCTTTGGCAGCAATTCCGAAGTTGGGGCCAAGCTCCAGCCCCCTCGTCGTCCCCCAAACACTAACTTAAGAGAGAAAGGGCGGGAGGGTGAGGAGGGGATCATATTTAACCCCAGGATTTTAACAAAGTCAATGGCTTTAGCACAATATTAAAACTAGGTGTTGGAAAAGGTTTACTTTCCTGGCCAGTGATTTTGCAGACTCAGAGGCTTGAGCTTTCCAGTAATTTCAGCCACTCTGCGTTCCAAATTGAACAATTTGATTTCTTACAGCTCTCTTTAAATATCAGATTTTAGCAGAGACTACACTCAGGACTGTTTTCACTTTAAAAAAAAGGAAATACAATTCCACCCTCTCTCTCAACCTCAGCTCAGCATTATGTTGAATGTCACAGACAATTTTCTCCAACTGTTGTTTATTAGCTCATGCATTCTCATATGAAATCTTCCCATGAAGGAGTACAGATGTTCAAACGTCTACTACCCTCTAATACACATGTGACCCCTGGCTGAGTGTCCCACTCACCTGGGCACCCGTGATCACTGCCACGGGTGTTGATGAAATGTGTCACAATTTTTTGCTTGCTATTTTCATTCATCAGGTTTGAACACCCCTCCATCCAATGTGATAGGATGGCAGGGACACAGGTATTCTAATTTTCTCTTGGATACCATATTTTAAAATGGTGTATAATGAACCTCACTTTTAACCTAGCACCCACCCCCAAAGAGAAACTACTATAGATATACAACAGCAATACATGCGGATAATTTTAGATATAATTGGAAAAAGACACTTATTTTGCTCTCATCTGGAAGTGGTTATATGCTTTAGAATAGCTAGAATCTGCATCAGTTACTTGCTTGTAGTAGCTGCACTAACATGAAAAAGGGACGAAAACAGATTGAAAAGTTTGGCAGTATTAAATTCAAAGGCCTTTATAATTTGATGTTGCAGCTGTCAGCTTCATATTCCTCCTTGACTTCCCAGAAAAAAAAAAAAAGTCATTCCTCATTTTCAGAAGCTACAGCTTTATAAAAATGCCAATAGAACCGCTGAAACAGGTCACAATGGCAATAAAACATAAAGAAGAATGATTGAAGAGTTTGAGTAAAGGGTTTTGAATAATAAAATTTCTCAAAATTTAACATATCTGAGTATTCCTAAACCCAGCAAAACATTTTGAGATGCTAAACCTATAAAATATAAGTAAAATATTAAATATCCTTGATAAATATTCATAATCAAAGCATCAAACTTCAATACATGTTAATTTAAGAATCTTCACAGTATTTACTAAAGATCCAAAGACTTTAATACGTTGAATTGTGAAAGTCTTATCTTCTATTCCTCTGCAGATACAAACATTCTCGTCAAATTTGTTCAATATTAAGTTATAAAAAGCAAACTGAAAGGCATATTTTTGTTGACTCAGGGACAAAGCTAAAGCTAGCCTGGGAAAGTAAGGAAATTTACAGAGGCATTGGGAAAGCATAATCATTCGATATTACTCTTCCCTATTTCACAGACCCTTCTTTCCAGGGATTTTTAGCATTAAGTTCTATATTTATCAAATTCTGTGTCATTTAGCAACAGCCAAAAGGAAAATATTCTAAGTATTCTTTTGGTGATGGAAGTGGAGTGATGCAAAAGATTTCTGAAGAGGCATCAAAATAGTATTTTCTTTTAAATTATTCCAGCATTTGCTATTGAATTTTCATTTTGTGTTTTTGAAAATGGATTTTTTTTTCCGTTGTATTTCCAATCTGTCACTGACATATTTGTCAGACAATCTTTTTGTCCAAGAGTTTTTTTTTTTTTTTTGCCTTTTCTCAGCCTCAATAAGTTAAATTCTGAGACCAGACTTCAAGTAACTTGATTATAGATAACTGCCCTAAAGAGAAGGTAAGGGAAGCAAATGCCTCACCTAATAAAGTAAAAAAAATGTCTAAATACATTCTTGAAACTTCACTGCATAAGAAAAGTCAGGCCAGAATTAAAGAAACTATAGTTTTCCTTTTCAGGTTATGATCAAAGAACATCAATATTAAAAGTGGCTGGGCTATTCTGTATCTCAGTCATGTAACCCTTTGACATTGTCTCCAATATGAACTGTGCCTTTTATATAAAAACTAGAAGGAAATTTTCATAAAGCAAGGAAATTCTTCTATTCCTCATCTATAGAGCTGCCTTAATCCCGTCTCACTCCTCTCTCTTCTCAAATTCCCTCTTGGAAATAATATATACTCACTTATTCTGAAAAGCGACCAAACTTTCTAAGATGACAGAGGTTAGGGATCTTTCGAAGTAATCTGAGTAGCATGGAAATAGATGTTGGGTTAAAGTAAAGTAAATTTCCAAAGGAAACCAAGACATTTGCTTGTTCCTAAAAAGCTTCAAAAAGGCAGTTAAAGGCAGTGATAACCACAGTAAGTGAAATACTCTGAGGCATGAAATTGTGTTAAAATATATGAAGCAATGTAATAAGTGAAAACATTTATTTACATTTCATTGAAATACTTAGTCACACATGTTTGCGTGGCCCATAGCATAGGCTTTCAACTCATACCTATCGAAATAAAAATTTCTAAATATCACAAGGCAGGCAAATTTGATTTTATAAATTCTAATATGGTGGTAACATATATTATAGGAATAAAAAGTAAATGTTGGTGGAGGATCAAGGTGGTGGCAGAGTAAAGACTCCGAGATCACTGCATCCAGGCTTGCACGGGAATTGAGGACTGAAAATGGATTATAGACTTACATACTACGAGTTTCAACCCAAATGAAAAACATCCTGGACTCACTAGAGGGGGAATCGGTGATTGGGGAGATCCCATAAGGGAACCCCTGGGAAAACTCAGGTGCCTGGAAGTTTGGCGGGTTGCAGGAGCTGCTTTGCCCCACGCTAAAGCCCTGAAGGTGAAGGGGGAAGGCTCAGCTCTGTAAGGGAGCCCAGGCTGAGGAAAGACTGCAAATCTGATCCGCAACACCTGGGTACAGGGAAAACCTGCCGAAACTGCAGGCCCAATCTGGAGTACCTGGATGCTGCGCAAAGCCACTGAGGACCAGCTCAACCAGGTCAGGAATGGGCAAGATGGCGGCAGAATAAAGACACTGAGACGACTATATCCAAACTCGCACGGGAATATATAAAAACGATCTATAAACTTACATGTTATGAGTTTCAACCCAAATGAGAATGCCCTGGACTCACTAGAAGGAAAATAACCGAGGGAGAATCTGCGACGGGGGAGTTCCCATAAGGGAATTCCTAACCGGTACTGCACAGGCAGTATTAGTGGAACCCTGCAACTCTGATCTGGTAATGCCAGTGGCTTCTTACTAGTTCGGCTCCTTTAAAAATCTAGACTCCTGGACGCTAGGAAGTGCTGCAGAGGGAGACTGACTGCAGCGGCAGCTGTCTCTGCTCTGCACAGCTGCAGCAGCTTTTTACCCCAGCTGTGCTACAGTCCTGGAGATAAACTAGGAAAACTAGCTAGGGAGAGGAA